CTAATACATTGGTTTTAGATTAGTTCTAATTTTTTATAAAGATTTTTATTTACTTATTTTGAAAGAAAGAAAGTGAGGGGGGAGGGGTGGAGAAAGCCAGAGAGAATCCCAAGCAGGTTCCATGCTGTTAGCCCAGAGTCCAAGCAGGGCTTGTATCCATGGACCCTGAGATCATGACCTGAGCTGAAATCAAGACTTGGATGCTTCACTGAGTGAGCCACCCAGGCACCCCTACTTCCAATATTTTTTAATTTCTATTTTCTAATTTTTTCTAAGTAGTTTCTATTCTTAACATGAGTCTTACCTCACAACCCTGAGATTAAGGGTCATGGGCTCTATGGACTGAGGCAGCGAGGTGCCTTCTCCCTTTTTTTTTTTCAACTAGTTCCAATTTAAAAAAAAAAAAAGTTTATTTATTTATTTATTTTGAGAGAGAGAGTGACAGAGCACAAGTGGGAGAGGAGTAGAGAGAAGGAGAGACAGAATCCCAAGTAGGCTCCATGTCATAAGTGTCTACAAATAATTTACCAATTTTAAGATCTCTTAGCTGGAGATTTATCTTCAAGAAGTCTTTCTGGACTTTGCCTTTGGGATTTGTAAATTTTATTCATTGAGAAGCTTCTCAGAATTCTTCAATCTTCGAACTAAAAAAAATTCTAGTTTTGGATATATAAATTAATTATCTTTTTTCACACAAGTAGGAATTGATTATATTTCCAGGAGTGGTCATCATACTCTCGGTTCCATATCTTAATTTTCTAGTATTCAAACTTTTTTGTAAATATTCTTTGAATAGCTACAGTTATACCTTAGTAATTATGAGATTCCAATTAATATATAGACTATACAATATAAATCTGAAAGCAGCCTTATGGAACACTGAAGACCTTGATTTATTCAGCACAGGAGTTAAGAAGCTATCCATCTGGGAAACCAGAATAAAAATTGTTAGGTCAATGTTCATTTAATATTCTTAAAAAGTGAAATACCTCCATGATATTTCAAAAGATCTTTTGCCTACTATGCCCAAAGCGGCAGTCCATTTGGAGCAAAGTGTATTGGCTAAGCTGGTTAGAACTCAAGTCATCCTATTTTGTGCATGCATTTTTATTTATGCATTCCCCACTTTTTATGCATCTGATCTATGCTTACCTATAGAAATGAAAAGCTGTTCTGAAACCTAATTGAGTTGGTTTATTTTACTTTATATCATTTTTTTCCTCACTGCACCCCCCCCCCCCCCAGTAATGATACTCTCACAGTACACTAATGCTTAGATGTCCTAAAAATGTGTTATTTGCTTTTGGTTTAGAAACTAAATTAGAGTAGTAAAAAGTAGCCATAGTATCTGCCTCTCTTATTTTAAATATGCTGGCTCTGGCTTTTATGTGACACAGATTCTAGAGCAAGCATAGCAGTAGACAGCAATTATTAATTTTTATTCTCCCCTTCCAGCTCAGAAGGTAGTTACCTAAATGCTACAATAAATTTGGAGAAAAGAATATTACCTCTGTGATCCATATTCTTCCCCTAATCTACTGAGCTAGGTTTACTGCCCAGTGAGCTAGTGAGCAGGAACTTCCCCATGAGCACATGGGGAAACAGTGAAAAGATGGGTGAAAACTGGAGTCATCTAGCTCTTTTCTTCACACCCAGATCCTGGCTCCTGAAGTCAAGCATCTGAAAGGTATAATGAATTTTCTGAGGCATATGAAGTCAAGAAGACTTTCATATGGAGGGAAGATCACAAGCAAATCTAAAGCATAGCTCATGATTAAGAGTTCTGTGAGGTGCTACTGGGTGATGAGAGGAAAAAAAGTATTTCAGGCAGAAATTATTTTGGGAAATCATGGTTTAAACAAAGTTAAATAGGTTTACCTAATTCAGAATGTCTCAGATACCTAAAGATGATTAATATACATTGTGACATTAAAAACAGGGATACACTTTGTAGTTAATGGACTCTGAACCCAATTCCAATGTGGAACTGGAAAATCTCCACACCAACCCAGAAATAGCATCAGATTCCATAGGTAAGGGGTTCAGTTCCACTAGATAGGCATCCATTATAGATGCCGATCTCAAGCTCAGGTTACCTCTACCTCTGACCATTTGGCTACAGATTGAAGGTTCCAACAATTCCCTCCAATTCAGGGTACCAATTGCAAGTCCAGGTTCTTACCTGTATTTCTTACCAACTTGCTATGACTTGCTATAAGTGACGTTTCCATTGATCCTCCTTGGATTTGATTAATTTGCTAGACTGGCTCACAGAACTCGGAGAAACATTTCACTTCACAGATAACCGGTTTCTTATAAAAGGATACAACTAGTAACAGCCAGAGGGAAAAGTGGCACACTGCAAGGTATGTGGGAAGCATGCCTAGCTTCCGTGCACTCTGAGCAAATCAGTCTCCTCTAATCTCCACCTATATTCATCAACCTGGAGGCTCTCCAAACTCAATCTTTTGGGTTTTTCTGGGGTGTCTCTTACATAAGTATGATTATTAAATCATTGGCCATTGGTGATTGATTCAACCTCTGGTACCTCTCCCCTTCTGGGAAATTGTGGGCGGGGGCAGTGTTACTGAAAATTCCAATTCTCTATTCACAGGTGGTTCCCCTGGCAACCAGCCCCCATCCTTAGGTACTTTCCAAAAGTCATCTCATTAATATAAATGCAGGTGTGATGATAAGGGCTTGTTATGAATAACAAGACATTCATTTCACTTTATGCCTCTGAAGTGATTTGAGAAACTGACTGCAAGAGACAAAACATTTTAACAAAACATGCTCTCATTGCTCTTATGAATGACCAAGTATATATATTTTATAAGTCATAATATTGAAGTCCACCACCTGGTCTTCAAAGAAAGATTCCTTATAGCAAAACAGTAGTACCTGTCAGAGTATTACTGTGTATCATTTATACAACAGATACAGCAATACTATCAGATGAGGCTTTTGGAGTGGTGGGGGTTCCAGGGGCCGACGACCAAGCGGGGCCGACGACCAAGAAAAAATTCTTGAGGCATCTTTAGTGCAAAAAGGTGATTTTATTAAAGCGTGGGGACAGGACCCACTGCCCCCAGACCATAAGGAGAGACTGATTATATAGTATGGAGTTGGGGGAGGTAAAGTCAAGGGGAAGGTTCCAAAGGGATTTTCATATACTAAAGAAGACTCAGGATACTGGAGGACTAGCTATTGTAAAGCTAAGGTGGTTTTCCCCTCTAGCAAAGCATTAACATTAAGACAGTAGGAAGTTCCTGGAGAAACTCTGCCTGCCTCAAATATTTGTCAATGGGCTACAGATAATAAGGAAATTTCATTTTATCTCCTATTTCTATCTGCCTTTGTTTCCCACATCAGTAACTACATAAATATGCCTAACATTTGGAGAAGCCAGAGTAGGGTAGGGATAGATTTAAAGAAACAACTCATTTGTTCTATAAACCCTTTACAAATATTTTATATTCTTATATTAGTTTGACTATTGTTTTCTTCCCTTCATCTATGGCTACCTGTAGATAGAGCCTGAAAAATAAGAGTCAAAAGACACTGGCACATTACCAGAATTTTGGTGATAGAGCCCCTTGCTAAGGAAAGTGGTGAAAACCTCAAGACAAAGGAAGGCAACCTGGCTGTGTGCACATGTGTGACATTCCTCATGACTCTGTAACACAGACCTCCCATTCAGACTGTATGTTACCATATATGGGACACAAAGGAGCACAAATTGTATAATAGGCAACCCTCACTGCACTAGGGGTTCAACCTTTTGGTTCTTAGCCTGTTGAGCCCATGCTGGCACAAATAAAGCTGCTTTCTGGATAGAAAAGCCTCGGTGTCCCGAATCTCTGTGTGACTCACTGCTACATTCTATTTAGTAATTAATAGTGGGTCAAGTTTATCAACATATTTTATAATGTCTCCCAGAGCAATATTGTTTGAGTTTGCAGGCTGTACTATTTGTCCAGTTCTAGAAGTGAGGAGCCTGAAATTAAGTCCTCCATTAGAAACAACCTCAGGGTGCATGTAGTACCAGTTCCAGGAAAAGCCTCAGCTGAAGCCACCCTTCGACCGCCCTCGGATCTGCCAATCAAAAGAAATGTGTAACATTCCTGTGGTCTTGGAGACGAGTCAGGGCTGGGAACTGCAGGTAGTTACTTTGTACAAACTTGCCAATCAGTCACCACTTGCAGGAGCCCCACTAGATTCTCTGAGCCCACCTCATAATTGGTCATTTTAAAAGACTCTCAAAGGTCATGCTTGGGTCCCGCCAAATGTAATGGATGCCTAGCAGATACTGAATGGTCAAAACTGTTACTATGTTGTTACTATGGGCATTGCACAATTATGATTGGTGCTTACGTAACGATGCAAAATGTACAACGTGTGCATGGTAACACCCCTGCCCTTTCCCCATAAAAACCCTGCTCGCCACTGTTCGGGGCTTCACCTTGCTGCTGCTGTGCTGGGAGACGGGTGAGCCCCTGCTCGAGCTTGTAATAAAGACCCTTTTGTTCTTGCATCGGTACCGGCTCCTTGGAGGTCTCTGGGGACTCGGGATTCGGGCATAACAGAAGCAAGAGTGGTATCAGCAATATATGGCTTCCCCCTTTCAGCATCTGGTATAATTGACCTAAGAGATATTATCATCTCTTGCTCTGAGACTCTTTTGAGGTGTTAGTGTCATCCTGGATTTACCTCATTATATAACCCATTTATTTATTCACTCCTTTACCCACAGCTACTAGTTTTCCTTCTCTGCATGTATACTCAAACTTTTCCACCTTCGGATGGGATGTTAGGTTTGCCACTGTGCTTGTGTAGCAAGCACATGGCAACACTAGTCTAGCAAGTTTCTTCTCTTCAGTTCAGTTTCTTTTTCGTTTTTTAAAGTTTTTGTTTATTTATTCATTTATTTGAGAGGGAGGGTGAGCGAGAGAGAGAGAGAGAGTGCACATGAGTGAGTACGACATGGGACTCGAACCCACAAACCGTGAGATCATAACCTGAGCTGAAATCAAGAGTCTGACACTTAAGTGAACGAGCCATCCCGGTGCCTCTCCAGTTCACTTCTATTCAGATAGGGAGAGGCTGCTCAGGTGCACAACTAGTGCGTTCTCTTCACGGTTAACCCCAATTTTGCCAGATACAGTGAAGGTACATCCTGCCCCATCAGGCCCTTAGAAATTCTGACAAAAAGGTTGAAAATAGTTACAGTTTCTTGGTTAGGAATCACCCCTGCTCCCAGCCCTTGTAGTAGTGGTCCTGGTCCCACAACCACTGCATCAAGTGGGCGGGGGGTGAGGGGCCGTGGGGAGAAGCTGCAGTGATGTGGAAAGAAAAAACACCAGCTTCCTCGCTCACCTCCTCTTCTTCAGATCCACGAGAAACACAGAGGAAATTTATCCAGTGGGGACACTCCTTTAGCCCCAATCATGTTGATGTGCAGTGTGAGCACACACTCATGAAGATATGTGTGCCAGCCCTTCATGATTTTATCTCCCTGTTTTAGACAGCCAATGTTTTAATTGGCCATTCCAAATCTTTTAAAACTATTACTTTGAGGATGATATCTCTGTCCACTGCTGGCCATTATGGGTTGTAAATGTGTTCCCTGGTCTGCAAAAATGATGGTCCACCATCCAAACTGGTACAGTATCTTCTGTTCTGGATCTTTCATAATACTCAGCATTTATATCTACATGAAGGAAGGAAAGCCCAATGCAGAGTAGGTGTCTAATCCTATCAGGACTCTTTTGTATTCCCCAGTGACACCAGTATCCATCTCACTTGCCATCTGTGATCAAGGCCTTTTTCTACCAGCGGATCTGCCACAGAACATTGACAGTCTCTGTCTCTCTTGGTAGACAGAACAGTTATTATTGGCATTTTTGGTCTCAGAGGGTGCAAGAGGGATATGTTTAGATTCAGCCCATCTCTGAATTGCTGCAGTATCACCAGCTTCACTCATTTCATGGATCCAGGTGGCCACCTTAGGTAAGCACACAGGGATATATGCTTGTTAATTCCAATCACCTTCTGAATCTGGAAGAAGATTCTTCTGATGGGCATCAACTTGTCCTACTTGAATGTACTCCTCAAATTCCCAGTGATTTGCATAGGGCTGTGCTCCTCTTTCCATTATCCTCCTGCCTGTCCATATGACTAGGCCATTGAGCACCTCCTGGTAAAAACCCATACAGAGGAGATTTTACAACTCTTCGATTCTTCTATCACTGCGGGGAAAGCAGCATGCAGTTAAGCCCACCAAGCTGATTTGTTTTTACCTTCTTCACTCAGAGTGGTAGCCTTCTATATTGGATGTTGTCCATTCACCTTGGAACTGCCACTTCTTTGTTGGTCAGTTGAGAGCTGCTTTAGGGCATTGTCCATGCTAATAGAATTCAGCAGCTTCTCAGGCACTTCCAGAGCCAGGCCAAGGGGGAAAAGAGGCTCCCTGCTAGTATCTCTTCTTTGCATTCCCCAGGCAGCATGATCCTGTATAAATCATTTGAATTTTATTGTGGAGTTTTGGGGCCACTGCTGTCCCCCTAAGGATATCATCCAAGACATTATAGCTACTTCAGATTTTAAGATCACTTTATATCTGCTCCACAGAGGTAGCTTTAATTAATAATGTTCAATAACAAGGTGGTAAATGCCCCTCAAATAGAAATCCTCTAGTCCAAAACCCCGGTAGTATTTCTGAGAGGTGCTCATAAGCCCCAGTTTATGTTTCGCCTAGGGCTAGCACACAGAATTTGTCCCTCCCAGCACTCCAACTTGTATTCTACGCTGAGTGCGCTCAGGCAGTCTTACTGGTTCTCGTTTAGTATGTCCAATTAACAGTGCCTGAATGACAGATTTACAAGCCTTCTATTTTTTAACACTAGGTAGGGGAAATGTTCCCCAGTGAGATACAATATCTATCTCTGCAGTAAAATCAGGTAAAAGAGACTTCACATAAAACCCTTTCAACCACTTAAAGCCTCAAACATACCAATTCTCCACACATTTTTTTACCTTAATTCCATCAACTTTTATTTTATTTTATTTTTTTAATTTATTTCTGAGAGAGAGAGAGAGAGAGACAGCATGAACAGGGGAGGGTCAGAGATAGAGTGAGATACAAAGTCTGAAACAGTCTCCAGGCCCTGAGCTGGCTATCTGCAGAGTCCGACGCGGGGCTCGAACCCACGAACCGTGAGATCATGACCTGAGCTGAAGTCGGACGCTTAACCGACTAGGCCACCCAGGTTCCCCAACTTTTATTCTTACATAGCTCTTCTATTTCCTAACTGTAGCCTCTATTAAGACTTCATCTACAGGTTTTGGTTTTATAATACTAGAGGGGAAGTATTCCACAGCCAGACATAATATTCATTCCCCAAAAGCATTCTGGTAAAGGAGACACAATTTCTTTACATAAAGCTTGCTTAAATATTCTGAATTTCATAATCCTATCAACCATTATATTTTTTTTATATTCTCTCAGTTCAATTGTAGCTCAAGTCAGGATGAACCACAGTTGTTGGAACATCTGTATTAAGGAATTCTGGCATATTCTCTACTCCTGACTGATTTACCTACTCCTGTGCAATAGGCTTGGGTCCCCCAGTAAGGAGCAGAGGGGCCTTGGCCCTTTGTCAGTCTTTGTCTTTATTAGCCTAATCACTGTCCTAAGTGATAGCTGGACGCATTTTTCATAGCAATCTCTACCTTACAACTCTTAAAATTTCTTCAAATTGGGATAAAAAAGAAGAGCTGTGTTTGGGGCCCTTTAATGTTGGGGGACCAATGGGGATCCCTTTGGCACCTCAAAGCTCTGGTAGTACTGTATTTTAACCTGTTTTAACCCATCAATGTCCATTTTATTTCTCCCACTTCTTAACAACCACCTCCAGATTTCTACCCATGAGTTCTATGACTCTTCCCCTCCTGTTTCCTCTTTGTTTCACTCCTGTCACATTTGCTTTACCCGCTTTATTTCTTAAAATAACCTCTTACAGATTTCTACCTAATTGGGAAGAACCCCTTGATTCTTCCCCAGGCTTCTCTTCCGATTCTCTTGTTAATTGACCTAATTTATTCATTTGTATCTGTAAGACTCAGAAGGGGAAGTTGAAGCAGCAAATTCTGTCTGTCCCTTGGGCATATGGGGTGCCCACATGAAAAGTGCCCCTTTAACCACAGCATTTACTATGACCTGGGTAACTGTTAATATTCACTGAGTGAATATCAAAAAGATAAAGCTTTCAACAAGTGTTGGACTTTCGGGAAGAAAGTATTATTTTATTAATTTTGAAGATTAGTGGGGTTTTTTTTTTTTTTTTGAGAATTGGTTGCATTAGCCTATAGGATAACAGTTCTTTCTCACTGAGCCTAAATGAAAACTAAAGCAACTTTATTTTGACATTAAATTATCTGAAAAAAAATCATTTGTTTTTCCCTATAAATAAATGGCTTGCTTTGAATGAGTCTGAGATAATTACTTTGAATTAATAATTTATAGAATCATTTTAAGTAAATTTCTCCATATACATTTCTATAGCAGTTAAAAGTGTATTATTCTTCAGAGTGCCTAGGTATCTCAGGATGTTAAGTGTCGCACTCTTGATTTTGGCTCAGGTCATATTGTGAGTTTGAGCCCCACCTTGGGCTTTGCACTAACAATGCAGACCCTGGTTGGGATTCTCTCTCTCACTCTCCTTCTCTGCTCCTCCTGCACACTCTCTCAGAATAAATAAAAAATGTGTTATTTCTGTTTTTACACAGTTTTTACTGATTTCTCTTTGACTTTCAAAATTCTTCCTTCATGCTCCTTACATTTTGTAAGAGGTGGGGAGAGGCAAAACTGTTATTTCTATCAAAGCAAAATTCTCATAATATCTTTGAAGATTTTAGACTTTTAAAACATGGTTTATCTTTGAAAAATCAAATATCACAGCTGTTACTAAGAGGCACTGAGGGCCAGACTTAAACGTGGTAAAAATCTTAAAAATCCATTTCTTTTATGAAGTATTTTATCTTAGTCTTCTAGTTCAGGACATTGATTGGCTCAAGTTTCTTTAAGCAGTAAATACTGAGAGATCAACACCATGCAGTTAATTACATTTTCTCTCATCTTCCAACATTTATATTACCCCTCTAACCACACACCTATTTAGGAAAACATTTCTATACTTACATATCTCCTGGTAGCTCCTCCAGTTGCTTTCTTTTCTTTACTTCATTCTTACTTTTAATTCCTTGCTTCTGTTATTCAGACTCAGACAGATGTTTCTTCCTTAAAAAGTAGTAATACAGAATATTTTCTAGAAATCATTCTGTTCTTACTGTGTTCAGTGCCCAGCTTCCCTCTAATTTTCTATGTGGGGGTTCACCCTAGGTATCCATGCATAGCCAGGGATGTTTCTTTTATTATTAATTTTACAGAGAACAGCAGAAATGGACAAGAGTTGTTGCCTTCCCAGTGTGTATCCACCCTGTGCATGGTGGGCAGCTATACAGTTAAGTTTGACTATAGTCTTAACATTCGAGTTTGCTTTATAATCTCAATCCTCTTGCCCTAGTGATTGATTTTAACCATGCCTATCTCATTTAGCACAAAGCAAGGCTGGAGATGTGTGGTAGGTTGAATACTGGCCTCCCAAAGACATGCGTGGCCTTATTCCCCAAATCTGTGAATGTTATCGTATACAGTAAAAGAAATTTGGCATTTGTGATTAAATTAAGGATTGGAGGTTATCCTGCATTTATTCCCTTGGGTCCAGAGTATAATCATATGGGTTTTTAGTAGAAGTACTGAGATGGAGTCAGAAGGGAAGGAGAAGGTTATAGGATGATAGAAGCAGAGATCTGGAATGGGACACCTTGGAGATGGAGAAAGGTGCCACAAGGCATGGAATACGAACAACGAACACTAGAAGAAGCCACTAAAACCTGAATAAGGCAAAGAGACAGACTGTGTCCTTAGAGCTTTGAGAAGGTACCAGTTCAGCGGACACCTTGACTTTAGCCGCAAGAAACTGATTTCACACTTCTAGAACTGTAAGAGACTAAATTTGTGTTATTTTTAAGCCGCTACACTATAGTAATTTGTTGTAGCAGCAATAGAAAACTAATATAGGATTAGAATTCAATCCATGGAGTTTTCTTGTGTAGTTGGTTACGAAACAAATTTCATTTCTTCTCTATGGTATAAACAACAGATGTGAGGTATGAAACTATTTTAGCCATTAACCCATATGATTGAGGACACCTTGAATGTGAAACTGACAAATATAGGAGAATAAAATTTTAAAAATGTACAGAAAAGCAGGAGCATAGCCCTGGTCAAAACATGTTTGAAACCTGCAATGAAAATAAAACATTAAAAATAAAAATTAAAAAAGTGGGGTGCCTGGGTGGCTTAGTAGGTTAAGAGTCCGACTTCGGCTCAGGTCATAATCTCACAGTTTATGGGGTTTGAGCCCTGTGTTGGGCTCTGTGCTGACAGCTCAGAGCCTGAAGCCTGCTTCAGATTTTGTATCTCCCTCTCTCTGACCCTTCCCTGCCCACGCTGTCTTTCTCTCTCTCTCAGAAATAAATAAAACATTAAAAAAAATTTTGAAATCTGCAATGATTCAGGACTGTTTCAGTTCTGTATGCTTACAAATTCCTCATTATTGACCAGATTTTTTCAATTACTTGCATTGAATGCAACTCAGCTGATGTAATAGCTTTGCACAAAACCTTACTTTTTCAATACAATATCTAATATGATTTCATAGCTGGATGAAACAAGAAGGAAGCTGTCCTGATTTGAACCAGTGTAACTGATTAGTAAGAACTGTGTAAGTAGGGATGGTTACGGTGCCTGTCACACTCCCCATCGTATCCTCCTCTCTAGCACTGTTAACAAATGCAAATAGGTGTTTAATAAGTATTTTTTGAAATGGGTTGATGACTAAATATAAAATGTACAAAGCATGACTGGAATATCATTATCAGCTAATTCTGCCTTAAAAATATGTTTTGAGCTGTGAGAAACTGAATATAAACATGCACAATGACCAGGCAGTAAATGAAAATAGAACTCTGACCAACAACCTCTATAGCAACCAATCAGGAAAGCAGATCACAACCTCTGCAAGCACTCAGTCCCAGTCAGAACCCAGTCAGTGACCACCAGCTTCCCTATCTTTGCCCTAACATTCTAACTCACGACCAGGCAAAGAAAGCCAAATATGCTCCTCAAACCAATCACATAAGATGCTGAGCTTCTAGTGAGTCTGCCCCTAGCTTCCCCTGGCCAACCACCTTCAATAAGGATATATGTGATGTCATCTCTTTTTCCACCATAAAGCTTTCTCATTGCCCTGACTACCTCTAAGTCTTTGCCAAGTAACGATGGCTGATTCCTTTGCCTTAGCAAACTCTGAATTAATAGGTTCTGTTTCTTCGCATTTGGATTATCTTCATTTATTTCCACAGCTATATAAATGAGGCTGACACTCTTTCTTCAGGTTATTTCTTGTCTTAGTCATTTATGCGTAAGACACAGTTTCTGTGGAAAGGTACCTTTTCAATAAAATTTCACCATATAAATGGTTTAGATATTTTTTTTTTAAAGTAAATAGATGGGAATTAAATTACTTCAGTCCTGAAATAATCTCCCACTGATCTGGAAGAATTTGCTTAAAGTTTGACCACTGAGGTTTCATTTAATTCATTTATTAATTTTTTAAAAAATGTATATAACAATTAAAACTCTCTATGACTGGGGCTAAGTACAAGGTCACAGTGATGGGCAGACAAATTCTGCTTCAGATCTCAGGGAGATTATAGTCCAGAAGGATAGAGAAGTTTACATAATTACATTTTTAATTATAATCTTAGTAAGGGCCAAAGGTAGAAATTCAGGAAGATAAAAGGATATGGTAGGGTTCCAGGCTTGAGTGTAGACTGAGAAGCACTTTATAAAATAGTGGTAGAGGATCAAATTGCCTCATGCTTAGTTATCTTTTAAAACTTTAGAGGTTAGTCATGATTCCAGGAAGAGTTTAAAACCCATGACTGTAACTGAATTCCTGTCATTCTGGCAGAATGGGGCATAAAAATAGAAGTCATTTTAGCTTATTAGAAAATAAAGTTATATTTCTTAATAATAGAGATTATGAACTCTGATTCATAACTACCACACATATATACTTCATACCCTAAGGTGTTGACAATGATTGTTAGATTCATTTATTTTCCTTGTATAAGTATCTGCTTTATATAGTAAACTAGTTATTTGCAAAACAGTGAATAAAGACTGGTTGAAAACCCTTTCTCTTGGGGCACCTGGGTGGCTCAGTCTGTTGAGAGACCAACTTCAGCTCAGGTTGTGATCTCATAATCTCCGAGTTTGAGCGTTTGAACCCCCCATCGAGCTCTGTGCTGACAGCTCAGAGCCTGAAGCCTGCTTCAGATTCTGTCTCCCCTCTCTCTTTGCCCCTCCCCCGCTTGAAACTCTTTCTCTCTCTCTCAAAAAGTAAATAAACACTAAAAAATAAAAAAAAAAGAAAATCTTTTCACTTTTGTTTCCTGCAAACTATAGAACAGATTCCTTAGTAGAGTCTTTAGGAAGACTCTTCATAATTTATCCCCAAACCTATCTTTCTCTATTATTCTAGGACTATCCATCATTCTTTTTGACACCTTCAGTATTTTCAACATGCCAAGTTTCTCTTCCTTATACATTGAATCTGTTTTCATAGCACCCTTTTATCTATTCATGTACTTTAGTCAACTTGAATTGCTTGTTTGCTTTTTCTCCCTGATATGTTTATTACATATTCCTGGGCTAACTATGATCTCCTCTGTGAGGCTTCCCCCCCAACCCACCTCAGATGAGCACTATTAATTTTCTACTTTACCCTTATAATGTAGCATATTTTCTTATCACTAATTTAGCTTTCTGAAATATTAGGACAAGTATTTGGAGATGAAATCCATACACTGCAGTTATCTTCATTAACAGCATTCTCTATATCACTGTTCAAATTTCTATTTGACATTTTTAACCTATAACTTATTATGAAACTAATTTAACTTAAAACAAGATAATACTTTACATTACTGAAGCGTGTTCTCAAAGATATAGATTATTTCAACCATATTTACAATTCTGGAAAACCATTTATTCAGAGAAGTTAATGGAGCAGTTATGAGCAGTAATTTATAGTGGTTAAGTGACCAATTCTGAAGCTCCAAAATCAAACTATTTCAACTTGACTTTTGGATATGCTACTTACTAGTTCTGTGCCCATGGGCAAATGATTTCAACTTTTTTTTTGTCTCCATGTCTCCATTTCCTCATATGTCAAATGGGGACAGTTATAGTACCTGATATAGAGTGTCAGAGTGAGGCATAAATGGATGAAAAGAAGTCAGAATGATGTACGGCACATAGTAATCTCAGCACATTTTACCTATTAATTCTACTAGTAGTTGGGGCGCCTGGGTGGCTTAGTCGGTTAAGCGTCCGACTTTCGCTTAGGTCATGATCTCGCAGTTCGTGGGTTCGAGCCCCGCGTTGGGCTCTGTGCTGACTGCCAGTTCAGAGCCTGGAGCCTATTTCGGAGTCTGTGTCTCCCTCTCTCTCTGACCCTCCCCTCTTCACGCTGTCTCTCTCTCTCTCTCTCTCTCCTAGAAAAAAAAAAATTCTACTAGTAGTCATGAGTGTAGTGGTAGGAAAAGGAGGCCAGGATTAGTTTTGGTGTTATATGTGCCAGACAATATTCTAGTTAGTTCTTCCATCAAGGAGTTCTAGTCTATCAAGGGAGCAAAAATATAATATCAATACATACCATTGTGTCTGATGCCACAAGAGAGTAAGGCACATAGGAGATCAGGAATATTGTGGAAGAAGCACTAGAGAAGAAGTAACATATGTGGTGAGTTACAGAGTTCTAGTAGAAGTGAGCAACAAAGAAATGCAGAAGCAGTGTCTCAGGCACATACAGGCACACATGAATGCAGGAAGCCTGGGAGCCACTGCACTTAGAGCCCCTCACTGTAATAGAGAAGTGGTAGTCAATGCCATGGTTAACAGTGAAAGATAGACTTTAGATTGGAAAAGCGTTTGGTGTTTAGTGTGAAGATGTTTGGAGTTTTCATAGGAGTCAGGCAAAAAAATTAACTACGGGACTTTTATTTTTGATTGATTAAAAGTATTACTTGCCATTAGTGTGGACAATGGAGTGAGTTAGGAGCATGTATGGCAGGTAGAAATTTATTGCACTAATTCAGAAATAACCAGCAAAGTCCTGGATAGAAGTAGCAATAGTACACAGTGTATAGAGACACTCTTTCAAAAATATGAGGAGGACTGAGAAGAATAGAAAGCTAGAGGCAGAAATGGAAGGTTACAAGGTTTGGACATGTTTGCGTAAATTTAACTATAGTTAAGAAGTTTAAATTGAGGAGAAACAGGAAGGGATATAAAACTGGCTAGATAGCACTGAATGTTCAGTATGTTTTGGCTTAAAGTAGACTGATCAGTCAACTTATGTCTTGAACTTGGAGGACCACACTACATGAATAAAATAAGAAGTAAATAAATATTTATCACTGACATTATGAAGACATTGAGGGTATAACTTAATATAAGCTATAACTTATATAACTTATTTTGAGACAGAAAATAGAAGGTAAAAATTTGGTAAATTATGTTGCTTATGTAATTTCTGTTAATTATGTACCTTATGTTACTTATATTATGTTCCTGGCATTGTGTTGATTAATTTAAATATACTTTACAACACAAATGCAATCTTATGAAATGATATTACTATCCCATCTTATATATGAGGAATATGAAGGTGAAATCATTTAATTAATTTGTTTAAGATTAGGTAAGAAGTAGGGGCACCTGGGTGGCTCAGTCAGTTAAGCGTCCAACTTCCACTCAGGTCATGAATCTCATGGTTCTTGGTTTTAAGCCCCGCATGGGGCTGTGTGTTGACAGTCAGCTCAGAGCCTGCTTCACATTCTTTATCTTCCTCTCTCTCTGACCTTCCCCTGCTCACGCTGTCTCTCTCTCTCTCAGAAATAAATAAAAAAAACATTAATTTTTTTTTAAAAAAGGTAAGATAAGAAGTAGCAGAGCCAGGCTAAAAATCCTAATCAAACTCTGCATGTTTTATTCCTATACAAATCACATTACACTTCTGACAAAGTAAAAAAAAAACAAATAAAAAGACTAGATATACAGTAAAAGCAGTATTGTGTAGGAAGGCCCGTTTGTTCTACATGAGAGGAAGAAAGCCTCCTCCGGTATGAAGAAACGTTAATTAATATTGTGTTCCTTACAACGTGCTGACATTGTGACAAGAGTCAGACTTTAAACTGTGAAAAGTATTGCTTTTGCATGTAAGAAATATATGGTCTTTTAAGGTTCTGACATCGAAAAATATTTAGAGACTGCTACTGAAAGTATAAGGTGGCAGAAAAGTGGGGTTAAAATGGTGAAGTAATATTTAATCCAAGGGCACAATTTTGTATAGTCTGAATTTACTTTCATCTGTATAAGGATAAATAGAAAGTATATCGGATTCCAGCTTTAGGAGATTTAGATTATTACGAAGAATTGAAAGAGGCTCTGATGGCATTCCCAAGTGATGCCCTTTAAATTAAACATTTTACCCCCCCCACCCCCCCAAAATCTCTTTCCTTTTCTTTGGGAGGGAAGGAAATAAGGTCAGACACTTCCTCGCTCCACTCACTAAGCTACTGCCTCACTCAGAACATGGAGTGAAGGGGGGACAGGCCAAGTCTCCCATAAAGTCTGCCCTTCCTCCAACCCTTCCTTCCCACAAAGTGTCAAGATTAGAAAAAATTTAACTGTATTGTTCTTCCCCTGGCACTGGACAGAGACCCCACTACATCCAAAAAGGAAGTTGGGGAGGCAGATGTGGAAAAAGGAATTCCTTCTCACTTCACAGAAGCCCCTTTCCAGTCAGGGGAGAGGTGGAGGTAAGATACTGGCCAAGAAGAAGAGAAAACCTCTAAAACCTTTTTCTTTTAACCTGACATATTTATGTAGTCAGTGTTTCGGGAGGGGAGGAGATTTGGAATGATGATAACACTTCAAAGTCAGGGAATGAAAGCCAAATAGCAGCTGTTTTGGTCATAATTTCCCGATAATGGGAAAGGGGGAAACAAGAAGTGGGAAGTAGAGGGAGGGAATGTTTGAGGGTCCTGAGCCCACAGCTCACTTTGAAAGGCGAGGCAGCAGAAGACAGACAGCTGGGTCCCACCAAGAAAAGAGTACTGGGAGCAGTGCCCGGGTGACTCCATCAGGTAAGCATCCAATTCTTGAATTTGGCTCAGGTCCTGATCTCAGGGTTGGTGAGATCCAGCCCTGAAGGGGCTCTGTGATGGCCGCAAGGAACCTACTTGGGATACTGTCTCCCCCCCCCCAATAAATTATTTTTTAAGGGCCCTTGGAGAGACATACAAGAAGCAGCCACTCACGTCCTGCCTCTCCGCCATCTCCCCACATCTCTGAAAGCTGCGGGACTACCCCAGATGTCTCCGATGCTGAGCGGCCACCCCTCCTGCGTCAGTCACAGACTCCAGCACACGCTTCTCGAAGCTGTCCTGGACCTCTTCCCTCTCATGTTAGAGGAAGCAGACTGTCTCAGAGTTAAGCACGAGGTCCATCTCGCACATGCTGGGGAAGTATTTGTCCAGGAGCTCGGCATCTCGCTGACTCGGCTCGAGCATGAGGGGTTCATTGTCCCCGCCGCCCAATAAGAGCACAGCAGAGGGAGAGGCCGGCATATCTTTTACAGACGATTTTGAGGACCCCGAACTCCAGGAAGCCGCACATCTTGGGCTTGCAAGCTAGAACGACCTGCATAAGTTGTCAAGCCCCCTTATTTCGCTGCTTGTCTGACAAAGCCCTGTACCACTGAGCGGCCTCAACTTCTCAGGCCCGCTGAACGGCCGCAGAATCCCATCAACGTGCAGCGGGCAGCTCCGCATGTCCCTCCTCAGCTACCGTAGGCGCTCAATCCTTTCTGAATCTTTTTTTTTTTTTTTTTCTTGCTGCCTAGAGGCCTGGTCAGTGCCGGGAAATTTTGCTTTTGCTCGAAGCCTCCTTCGTGCAGGAAAGTTTCCAAGACGTCTGGGTCAAAGCAGTGAAAGGTTAGAAGGGTATCTCCGTACTACTATGAACACCTTGGGGGCCGATGGCCTTTTGACAAGGCTAACTGTTCCTTGCCGCCTTTATCTAGAATGCACAAGTCAGACTTGCTTGGGGCTTTGACATTCAGGGATCAGTTCTTACTGAGGACAGCTGATGTTTCAGTTTTTTCCATGAGCTGAACTTTGGTGCACTTGAGACATAATTGTTATTCTATAGAGAAGTTGTGTGTGTGTGTGTGTGTGTGTATGTAATTACATATATATGTAATTTACAGCAACAATTTGTTATGTATGCAGATATCTTATGAATAAACAAATACGTATTTTATCCAGTTTTCCAAAACATTTTTAGAACTGACCTAAGATCATGGTAATTTAACTTGAATTATTTTTGAATGCAATACAAAGTCATTCTTTTCTCATGATTGCTTGATTCTAGATACCAAATTTGTCTTTGTATATAATTATAATCTCTCATTGTTTCCACAAATAAAATATTAGCCAGATTCATAACGTCTGTATAAAATGTAATTAAACAATTTACATATCAATTTACAATTTTAAATAGTGACAAACTAATAGTTCAAAACCAAAATCTTGTGTTATCTCTAGAAGAATGGCATCTGTGCAATATAAAGTTCGGCTAGAATGCATGGAGTGAAATACGAGCTCTGTGAGGTACTAGGAGTGGGATTTGGAAAAGCATTTCATTTAAGTGTGCCTCATCAATAAAAATGCACTTAACATTGTATTTTAAGTGTCTTACAGAGATCTTGCCATTTAAGGTGTTACTTGCCATATGGTTAGCATTCAGTAAGTATTAGTATTTACCTATTCCACACTCAGACAAATTTGGGAAGGAGGTAGGTTAGTAGTGAGTTGCCTGACTTATTTTTCATTGCCTAAAATAACCTGATCCAGTGTACAATAGGTACGGAGGTTGACTTCCATTGGAAGGACTGATTGTCAAATTTTCAGGAGTTTGGGGAGTTGGATGATGTGACGTTGGTAGCTTGAAATTGGCTATGATGGGATTATTTATCCTGATTAGTCCCAGAAGGCAGTTGTTAAACATGTCCCAGGATAATAATGAAGTTAGCTTTGTTATTCAAGTCAGTAGTTTAATCCTATTGGTCAGATTTTAAAGGATCTTTAGAGAGATTACAGAAAATATTCCATTCATTAAAAAAAGAGAGAAAGAAATAGAATTTTGGCAGTTTCTTATACTATTAAATGTTTACCCACGACGTGACCCAGAAATTCTATGCCAAGGTATTCACCAAAGAGAAATGAAACCATATGTCCACAAAAGAATTGTTCAAGAATTTTCTAGCAACATTATTCATAATGGGCAAAACAGAGTTGTCACAAGAGTATAAAAATAATTGTTATATTTGTACAAGTGAATACTACATAACAAAAAACCAAAAGAAATTAATTTTTGATGCATAAAGCCAAGAGAAAGAATCTCACAGAAGGAGAGTTGATTGAAAGAAGCCATACCAAAAAAAAAAAAGTGTATAGGAGATGACTTTATTTATATAAAGATTAACACCAGACAAAAACGATCTATGGTGAGAGAAATTAGAACAGTGTTGCCTTTGGTGTGATAGAGGTGTTGGTGGTGGTGGTAGTTGCAGTAATAGTAGCAGTGATTGACTGGAAAAGAGAATGACAAATTTCTGGTGTGATGGAAATGTTCTCTATCTTGAAGTGGCTGTTGGCTACATGGGTATACACATTTATCATATCTTATCAAACTATCCACTAAAACTCTGTGTGTTTTATTGAACATAAATTAAATATCAATAAAGACAAAGCAATATGTTTTATTTTTTGAAGTTTATTTACTTTAGGAAAGAGAAAGAACACAGTGTGTGTGTGATGGTGCTTGTGGTGGGGAGATCAGAGAAAAGTAGAGACAGAATCCCAAGCAGGCTATGCAACATCAGTACAGAACCCAATGTGGAGCTTGAACTCAACAGACAATATCATGACTTGAACCAAGATCAAGAGTCCGATGCTTAACTGACTGAGCCACCCAGGTGCCACTGAAACAATATATTTTCACAGAAATACTGTTAATAATAGATATGCATGATGACTAAATTAGATAATTAGAAAATAAAGTTTGGGGAATATGTATATTTATATGAAAAGAAAAAAGGTAGCAATTAGGTATACAATCCATCTAATCTATCTTTCAATCACTGTAATTTTTTGTATTGTGGGACATTGAACAACTTTATGAATATTCTGGTTTCTAATCTGCAAAAATGGAATTAAATATAATACCTCAAAAAATAACTTGCTGGATTAAATGAAATACTTCATCAAAAGAATTTGTGATGCCTGGCATTTAGTAAATACTTAATCATTTATACTTATTAGTTCTTTTATAGCTATTCTTCTATAGCCATTTTTATTAGGAGATAAATACATAGTAGAAAAGATAAAACTCAGAGTACCTACTGAATTTCCAATTCCATCTCCTGAAAGTACCAGAAAGAATGGAGCAGGTAAATGTGCAAGCCATATTTTTATGTAGTAACGGTATGTTATTCTGTTACACTGTTAAGAAATGACAGTTGTTTTCTCCAAAATATTTGGAGAATTTTCTCACCAGCAGTGTGTGAGAGTTCCAGTCACTCCACAGCTTCACCAACAGACTTTTGAACTTTGTGCATTCTAGCTCATGGTGATTTCCATTTGCATTATTCTGATGCTTAAAGGTGTTGAGAGTTTTTCATGTATTTGTTAGTCATTTTATATCTTGTTTTGCGAAGTTTTAGTTCAAATGTTTGCCCATATTTATTGTATTCTTTACTCTCAGTTTTTATAGCTGCTTTTTAAGAGTCATATATATTGTGGATATATATACTCAGAATATGAGTCATTTGTCAGATATATATATATATATATATATATATATATGGCAGATAGTCTTTTTTTTCCCCTTGCTGTGACTTACTTCTGTATTTTTTCCTTTTCTTTCCTTTCTTCATTTTCTTAATGGTATTCTTATTAATTAACTGAAATTTTTAATTCTGACAAAGTTCAATTTTTAATTTTTTTCCTTATATCAATGCTTTTTTATGACCTAATAGATCTTTGTCTATCCAGCAAAGATATATTTTGTGCATCTCTGGTTTTGTGGTAAGAATATTCTACCATCCTAATTATTTTTCCCTTCTATCCATATCTGCCTTCCTATTCAAAGAAAGGGATATGACAAATTAAAATAATGAGAGCACTTTTCTACTAGAGATTGCTAAATAAGTCTGGTAGCTCCAAAAGGTTATTAAAATTCCAAAGCAACTCCACAGTGTTTTAGTAGGCTACATTTTTGTAGAGGACATTACATTTGAGATATTTCCCTCAGAGAAAAAGAAAATCAGATTTTAAGTCAAATTTTATACAAACCATATGGATATAAAACTTTAAATATACATCTGGTCTTCTGGGAAACTCTTTCAACTTCACAGACTAATGATACAATCAAAAGTTACAGAAATTTTAATCTATAAAGTGTTTTAAGGCAGTCATTATTTAAATATAAACTCAAGTCTATTTTGCAGGATACATACGTTTGCTACAGATAGGTCTAAATTTATACTAAAAATAAAAACACAAACTTTGTTGGCAACATTGCTTCTTTTTTTCTAAGAACCAAAGAAATCCAGTTATGTAAAGGCATAAACATTTTTACAGGAAAATACCCTCCACTTTCAAAGTGGTATGGATCGTGTAAAACAAGTAAAATGTTTGAGTTCTTAATTGATACTTGCATTGCTCTTTAGCATTTCTTTATTCTTTCAATTGATGGTCACGGAATACAAACAAATATGTTTTAAAAGAGTAATCAGTGTCCCCAAACTTAAGACAGTCTTTGTCCAAATGTTCATCTTTCTTGCAATTCAACTCTGGAAATAAAATACTGTTCTTTCACTCCTATATCATATGTATTTTTAATATGTATAAACAGACACTCTGCACATTTGTTTTCTACATTTTAAAGTATATGTGGGGGCGCCTGGGTGGCTTAGTCGGTTAAGCGTCCGACTTTCACTTAGGTCATGATCTCGCGGTTCGTGGGTTCAAGCCCCGCGTCAGGCTCTGTGCTGACTGCCAGCTCAGAGCCTGGAGCCTATTTCAGAGTCTGTGTCTCCCTCTCTCTCTGACCCTCCCCTGCTCACACTGTCTCTCTCTCTCTCTCTCCTAGAAATAAATAAAACATTTTAAATAATAAAAAAAAGTATATCTGGATAAATAAAACACTGTTGAACAATCATGCTCTATTGTTCTGCCCATATTGCTGAAAAATATCCAAGTAGCACATCATCCCAAGGTTAGGATTGTTAAAATAATACTTTTTTCCAAAATGAACTAAAATCTATAATTACTAAAGTTGGTTCACAGGGATCACAAGGGGAATGTGTGATCCCTGATTTTTGTTTTTATTTGATTCTAAAATTCAGGCTTTAATCTTTTTCTTCCCATTTTAATTGTAATGATTGCTTTTTATACTTACTTGATGAAAATTTCTATTCGTAACTTCGTGTTTAGAAATCTACAGAGATTCAAGATCTTTTATGTGTTTAGTAAACCATGTCAGGCTTTCCAAACTTTGGATAATTTCTACAGGTAGACCTTGATCAAGGACCCCTATAAAGAATTAAGTCAGGCACCCCAAAAAGAATGTAGAAAATATAACCAGTTGCTGAAGCAACTGGTTATTTATGAGCTGGTTGAGATTATTAAACTTCTTAATTTCTTGTGTCACAGGCCAGAAAGGGCATATGCTGACATACAGCACAGAGATGTCACAAACATGACAGCACAGATGTGTCACAGACATACCAGCTTTCATATTTTTTCCGCTTTTAGCATGAAATGCTCAATTTTTAAAGCTATTTTCAGAAGCATAATATTTAACCAATTTTGTACACCACAAAGCAAGAAAGAGTGTGAGCAATTCCCTTAATTTTCAGGTGTTGTAGGCCATAAAGTACATAAATTACTTGATTAGAATGTTGTCAGAGATACCCTAAGGATAAAAACTTATACTAGAAAGATAGACTAAATATTAACTTTATTTATTAGCTAATACAGAAGCAGGGCTGATATGGCAAGATTTAGTTTTATTTGCCACGTTCAAAAATTATATTCTACATATCTTGCTTTTGCTTACTTGTTTCATTACATCCATTCTTTTTCATCTCCCAGATAAAGGAGAAATAGCAAACCCTATATAAATAAACACACATAGAAGGAAGAAACATAGAGTGCCTAGGGACATTAGGGAAGTCTTCAGAGAGCCTTGAATGATGACCAGACAGATAGTAGACTTTTTCTAAATGGACAATGAAGTTCTCATTATTCTTTTTACTCTCCCCTCCAGCTGTTATGTTTGTGATTTTTGTTTAAAGTGTTGATTCTTGTATTTGCAATATTTTTTCCTTCCCATGTACTGTGCATTTGGGAAAATGGTTACTGCAACAATTCTTCATTGGTTACATCGGATGCCTAAAGGGTGAAGAATTTATGGAAGATTTTCTGTTAGTCACAACACAGGCAAATTTATTCCTGTAAACTTTCTCAAACCTTATTTGACAAAATACCTCTCTCTCTCTTATTGCTATTAAATCTCCAGTTAGCATTTATTATACATGCAAAAGTGTAAGGAAGTAAGCATCTTTTGTATGTTTGGTCTAGTTAATCTTGTATTTAAGGAAAATAGATTCTTATATTCTTTCTACAACCCTAGGTACATAGAAAAAATTAATGAAATATCCATTTTCTGGAATGTTTCCAAGGCAAAATAGTAAGGTAAATCACCACCCCGCCATTGACTTTTGTGCACTTCTTCGGCCCCTAGTTTGATTTGATTTAATTCTTCTTTAGCCTTAATTGCATCTCTTTTCAATGGTTAAAGTTATATATTAAGATTTTTACAATTTCTAATGAAGTGCACATAAAGATAACTGTTATGTATTTCATATTAAGACTATAGAAAAATACATAATTTCCTACTCAACATGGAGAAAAAATATATATTAAATGCTTGTTAATGTGTATTAAATATAACCTTCCTATAAGATGTAAGTGACTCCATTTCAACAAATCATGTTCATGGAGAAAGTAATATGAAATTCAAAAGATTAAATAGGATTATTAAATTGTAACTCAGCTATGTGCTATATTTCATATACTGTTTTGTAAGTAGTTTTAATCACACAGCATATAAAATTATTTCTAACCAACTGACAAAAAATCTAAAATTTGAAGAAGGATTTTTACTTAATAAAACTGCTGTTAAAATTATTGCTTCCTAAGGAAGGCATTAGGCCTAACTGTATGATTTATATGGTAATTTTGCAGACAAGAAGCTTGTGTTTATGTGCTTGAAGATTGTATATAAAAAGTAAACTAAGAAAAGTTTTCCATTTTTAACTTTAAGGGAAGTGTTTAATAACTACTTGTGCATTAATTGCATGGAATGCAGTTTACCTTCTGAAATATATGACTTGGTGTAAGCATCCGATGAATAAGGTTTTAGTTAAAGTACAAACTTATTTTTTTTAATTTTTTAAATTTATTTCTGAGAGAGAGAGAGAGAGAGAGACAGTGTGAGCAGGGGAGAGTCAGAGAGAGAGGGAGACACAAAATCTGAAGCAGGCTCCAGGCTCTGAGCTAGCTGTCAGCACAGAGCCGGTTGCAGGGTTCGAACCCACGAACCGTCAGATCATGACCTGAGCTGAAGTCGGCCGCCTACCCGACTGAGCCACGCAGGCACCCCGGAGTACAAACTTATTTTTATAGATTAGTTGAATTTGTATTGGCTTAACTAACCCCTGGCAGTGTTGAATGTTACCTGAGCCCTGTGCTTCTGGAAAATGACAGTTAAGGAACTCCCATCCCCTGCCCCTCCCCACTTTGTGTCTAGGAAATGCTCTACTGCAAATAACTATCCCCATGTGACTTAGATAAGATTCATGGGTAGCCCTCTTGTTTATAAATGATAAGGCTAGTGGTAGGCTATCCAAATTCCTATGCTATGGCTCATAAACTATGTTACTGAGAAATACGGACAAAATACTTGGTAACCTGACTTGATCCACATTTAGTCAGTTTTCCCTAGGCCCATGTCCCTCCTTCATAAATCCCTCCTGAGAATCAGCTAGCTCACTTACAGAAGAACATTCTTGGTCAACTATCTGAGCACACCACCTGTTAATCCCACCCCCCATGGGGTTCTTTCTAGCCTTGTTTACTCATTTCTATAAACCTTTGAGAGGTTTATAGACGTTTTAAGTTAAGAGTATTTCCTCTACTGTCAAAGTCTGCCTCACCCTGTTGCAGTAGCCTTTGGATTTGCTTTGAATTGATAATCCTTTATTTATTTATTTATTTATTTATTTATTTATTTATTTATTTATGTGTATGAGAGAGAGAGAGAGGGGCAGAGGAAGAGAGAGAGGAGGCTGACATGGGCCTCCATCTCACTACCTGAGCTCAAAATAAGAGGCAAGAATCGGATACTTAACCCACTGAGCCACTGAGGTGCCCTGATAATCCCTTTTTAAATTATGATCAGTTTCTGACATAAGTTAAGAAACATTGTTACAGACAATTATTCATGCAAACCCATCTGTACAAATCAGAAATAGAATTAGGAACCGTCTCAAATTCTGAGAGTTTAACTTATATATTTTTAGGAAGAAGGAGAATCAGAGTAATTTAGTCTTCATATTAATGCTGGTCTAGTTTTCAAAACACTCAGTTATATCCAGTTTACTATTATAACAATCTGAAAAAGCTAATTAAACATCATAAAATTGAAGGAGGAAATTAAGCCAGCGCAAGTCTCACTTTTCATATTAGGGTAGAATTCTGATTTAAATGTGTACCTTGGGAAAGCTAACATGCTTTACTTGTTGAGAGGAAAGTTTTAGGGATAATGAAAGAGCCAATTGTGTATACAGTGTGGCAAGTCACAGAAGAAGACAGTAAGCCATCAGGTATACCTGGACAATTTTATATCCCATGTACCTAGTCTAAGGCATGGGCCATAGTGTATACTGACTAAGTATTTATAGAATACATTTATAATATCTTTTTTGACACAAGGAAGATTAATTTTTTATTTTACTTCACTCAAAAACATGTCAAATATCGGAATAAGATTGGCAAAGGGAAAATGTACTTGTTTATTCATTGAACAAATGAAGATGTTAGGAAAATGAGAAAGTGACATGTATTCATATTTATATGACTCATTTTCAAGTTTAAAAAGCAAAGCTAAATTTTATGCTTAGTCATCTTGAGATAAAATTTTGCATGGCATTATATATTTTCTGGTCATTTATTTTTTATTTTGAATTAAGAACTGATGTTATTATATAATTTAATGAATGTATAAACTAATGTTATAATAGTGTTTTGAGTTAATAAATGTAAGTTAGATTCCAAAAATCCAATCCAGTGTGAACAACAAGTTAAAAGTCAGACTTATATCAATTTGTTGAGATCTGCAATCTTGACCCTGAAATTTTTTTCAAAAATGTAATATGATAAAATCATTGTCAGGTGTAGTATTGGCAACTCTTGGCATTCTCTTTGTCTCAATGTGTACCCTTCATTTACATTACCAAAATACAGAAAATAAGCACTTTTTATGATACTATTTATGTAGGGAAATTTATCCTGATTTTTATGAACATACTTATGCCACAATAGAACTCTCCCTCTAACCCATTTTCTTATTCTCTCCCACACCATACTGGGCTGATGTTGCATCAAACTTCACGTCCATAGGAACCTTAGAAAGTGACCTTTGAAAATGGGTCCTTGCAGATGTGATCAAATTTGATTAGGTCATAATGAACTGTGGTGAGCCCTTATTAGTATGACTGTTGTCCTTATAAGAAGAGGGAAATTTGGACATAGAATCACAGATACATTAGGAAAATCAACGATTGCCTTTAGCCGCCATAACGTAGAAGAAGCAAGGAAAGATTCTTCTCTTGAGATTTAAGGAGGAGGAGCATAAGTCCTTTATCTGGACTTCTGTTAGAAAGTAAATGTTGTTTTAACCTACACAGTTTGTAGTTCACTCTTATAGTAGCCATAGGAAAATAATATAATAATATATACCCCACACCTAAAAGAACCATTGTGTTTAGGGTGTTTAGGGAAGGGATTTTGTAAAGAGAGAGCGGTAGGAGCTCCATTACTCACAGAGTGCCATATGTTTCTAAGGGTTGACAGTGAGTGTTTTCTGTCTCTAAAGAGTGACATCATTGATTTCTTTTATTAGAGTGGAACAAGGTTTCTTATTATTTTTAATAATGTCTGACTTAGATGAAGTAACTATGTATGCTGTAACAAATCCAAAAATAGTAAATTATTAAAAATGATGCAAGCAGCATGTCTCACTCATGCAACTGTCTAATACAGGTATTCCTGATTGGAAACCTATTCTCCAAATGTAGATTCAGGGACCCAGGCTCTTTCTCCTGTTTTGTTCCAAAATAATCAACACATGTCTTCAAAATCACAATGAAATGGAAAAGAATGACATTACTGGAAGTTTTTAATGTATCAGATCTGAAAGTGACACAGGTTTTTAGTACTATATTTCATAGCCAGAATTCAGATTGCATCGTTACAGCCAGGGTCCAGTAAAAGATCTAGATAATTGTTGTTCATATCTTATACTCAGCAAATAGAGAAAGTATGGTAATGTTTTGGTCACAAGGCCAATTCTTTTCAAAAAACAGTTACTGAGTAATTATGGTGTGCCAGGAATCTATGCTGTCTGTCTGTAACTAATGAGTTATTAGGGGATTGTCTATAATTTAGAATTCATAATAATTTAAGCCAAGCTTAAATGGCTCTTCATGTATTTAATGGTAAATATAGGGTTGATATTATATTTCCTATTTTTATTATTATTTAGGTTTTAAATTTTAATTTAGCTTTAATCCTGATATTTAATGTTATTCTTTATTCGTTTGTAAACCTTTTGCAACTCTCTCCATTTCAAACCTTCTGAAATTTTTAAAAGAAAAGTCACTTTGGTACAGATATGGGACAGAGATTAAGCAATATTTAAATATGTACTCACTTCAAACCCATAATCACACCAGTTATATTAAACTGTGATACAAATTGGAGAAGAAAGGTTAAAGGAAACGGGAAATTTTGAGTCTCCGAGAGAGCAAATTGAATAACTTCAGTGTCAGCTGCAACATTTGAAAGCATTGTTTACAAGAGTTACTCTAGATACCATTATAAGACAGTATCCTTCTGCAATATCTGGTGAGCTTAGCATAGGATTGAATAGCATCAAAAGCATTTTTAAATTTGTTCCAATGATAGGCCTACTATTTGTAGACTAAATCATCTCTTTGTTTATGAAAGTTAAATGTTCTCAGTATTTTATACTCTTACATTTTATCTAAGAGGTCTCCAGATGGGTGTCCAGATGGGTGTCTTCACTCTTCATCTGAGGGAGGACTCTCAGGTCCTGGGAACGCAACCCCTGAGGTATTTGGATATAAAGTCTGGAGAAGGAATGGACTTCAGCAGGTCAGAGACAGAGTGACACTATTATCACTTAGGCTTTTGTACTTAAGAGTTTAATAAAGAGACTACAGAGTTTATTTTCAGAGTGTTTTGATCAACAGCTTTATTTTTGGCTATCCTGGGACAAAAATGCCCAGACAAAAATGTATATTTCTCTCTCTCTCTCTTTCTGTCTCTCTCCCTGTCCTGCTTTGGAAATTGTCTTTGCAGCCTTTTACCTTAGAAAAAGCTACCTTGTAAATGGAACTAAAAAGCTGAAGTGTTCATTGTTGTATATTATCATATTTATAATAGAAAGTAGAATGTCTTTTACTCAAACTATAATTGAAGGCTAAGTTAAAGTTAAGGTTGAACAGGAAACAACTCGAGATAAATGGTAGTTAAATACAACAAATTACAACAGCAACAAACAATATGTCTAAGAAACATGGAGTGTGGTGGGTAAAAAAGTTACCACTATCACATTTCAGGATAATTATTAACCGTCTGTACCATTCCTAAACTGCTGCTGAAATTTGGCATAGTTCAAAGTGGAAGTTGCTTAGGAAGAAGTAGTTTGAGAGGCAGTGGGAATCACAATAATCCTAAGTAGGGGAGTTGCAATTCTTATTTTTATCAAACAGATGGACAAAATGCTTGTTATGCTTTGCAGTAAAGCCATGTACCTAACATGATTATGCATTATGAGATTTGATAGGGAAAATTCAAGATGTCAGAGTGGATTGTTAGCTTTTCACTTTCCTATAGATTTAGTAATATCCTGTAATAAAGATACAGACCTGGGTTAAAACTGACTCCTGGGAAAGAATAGGCATACTTTTTGCCTCTGGCCAACCTCCAAGGATGGCTGAGAATATAATAACCTGGAGCCTTGTTTGGATAAAAAACCTAAATTATTTAACAAAAGCTTGTTAGTGTTAGCAGAATTGAGGAAGTCAGAACAAAAATTGGCAGTAAGATTGAGTTATGTGAGGAACCTGATTCCCACAGGCCCTTTCCATGAATCTCCTGTTATATTACTACCAGGCAGACACAGGAGACAAGTAGTTTTATGGTGTAAGTGCAGATAGCAGGGAGAAGTAGAGATTAACTGTGCCTTTCCGTCCTGAACCATTGTCTCAAATTGTCCAAAGCAGATGCCTCAGTGGAGGTCATTAAATTAAGAGTTAGGGAGGCGAGCATATAACAGATTTGTTGCTAGGAAACAGATAACTCCAAGTTCTAGCTCTAGAATCAGGAAACATGGCTCATCACAATACCTGCTTTTAAGGGAGTTGTTTTTCCAGCGTATAGGATTAAGAGATTATGTTTGAACTTCCACTTAGCAATCAATCCCCTATTCACACTTGCTCTTCTCACACACAAATGAAGACATATACACAAAAACCTGCAGGAATGAAATGATGAAGAAAATCAGTACCCAGAATAGGCATTCTTTCCAATTCCCATTTTAGATGTGGTCATGGATAACACTAAATAAGGGACTCCTTTTAGAGGCCGGAACCAAGAGGCATGGGGGGCTACGATGTGGGCAAAGAAGGTTTTTCCAGAAAAATATCTAGGAATCATCCCACTGTCAGGGCAAAAAGCTTATACTATTCTTTGAAACAGGATATGTGGTATGAAGCAATGACTGTCTTATTTTGTTTCCAATTATTTTTTTTCTCCAGTGATTTTTTCTTTTCTGTTGTATTATCCCTTTCTTCCATTTTATCCAGAACTTTGAATGCAAATGAACTTTTCATTTACATGAAATGAAATATTTCCCTAGTTTTCAGTCAAGGTAGACTGGCTTAATTTTTAATTGATATTAAAAATTTTGTTGGGGGCGCCTGGGTGGCTCAGTCGTTTAAGTGTCCGACTTTAACTCAGGTCATGATCTCACAGTTCGTGTGTTCGAGCCCCTCATCAGGCTCTGTACTTACAGCTCAGAGCCTGGAGCCTGCCTCAGAGTCTGTGTCTCCCTCTCTCTCTGCCCCTCCCCCTCTCGCTCTCTGTCTCTCAAAAAAAAAAAAACATAAAAAAATTAAAAAAAAAACTTTCTTAGAATGGATACATGGAAATTCTATTCTCTAATCTTTTGTTTTAGAGAAATATCTTTGTCTTCTGAATTAATTAAGAGTTTAGTAACATCCTGTAGTGAAAAATTATGTCTTTTCTGAATTTTAAAGACATTTATACTTGGCCTGGAAATCCAGGGAGATGTCGGATTCAAATTTAATTGTTGTTCCAGGGTAGAAGACCTCTAACTGACTGAGCCACCCAGGTGCCCCTAAAAATCTATTATTTTTATCTTCATTGCATATATAACACTAAATGTTTTTATGTTTATTGAGTTTTCTTCAACTAATTTTGCACTTCAGAAGCAAAGTGATGTGTGATTACAGACTGTTGTAGTATCAGTGGGGAATGTTATAAATATGTGTGGAATGAGTGAATTAACAAGTTATGGCATGGAAGAGGAAGTTCTTTTTCACTCCATCTTCTCCAGTTCTTGTTCTCTTCTTAAAATAATTACTCCTTAGGGATCCCTGTCATTATTATGGTTAGTGATTAATTTCCTAAGATCTTAGCTTTACGGTCCCCATTAATTAAATGCTTGTATTTTTATTTTTTTAATGCTGAGATATTTGCCCTATAGCTCATAAGAATCTTACCTGGTTTTTCTTTATATCCCAAGCTGTGATCGCAGTATTATCCTTATTATCATTTAAAATTTCTCTGTCTCTCCTCTAAGCATGGTATTCCTGACCCCCTGTTCCATAGTTGCTATAAGGAATTCATTGAATATTTTCATGGTAGCTCTATCATCATATGGATTTCAGTCTGAGAACATTCTCTTGATCATCTGTTGTGACTCTTATAGCAGCACACCTCCTCATTTGTAGAATGTGAGGCTGCCATTTTCACATTTCTGAATTCTTACTGCATCTTGCAATTATGTGCATTTGTTGATTCCATATATCTTTTGATTTATTATATATCTCATTTAAGTCTCTCTGCAATGAAGAATCTTAAATTCAGAGATTTAAGCAAACTTCTAAATATCTCTCATTAACAAATGACTGAGATAACTTACCCAGGCAAGTTGTTTTTGTATGGAAATCTATTTTTAAATAAAAATTTGTCCATGTCACTCACTTCCCTGTTTAAAGTCTTCAATTGCTCCCTGTCACCTAAAAGATTAAGTCTAAATCCTTAAGCATGATACATAAGCCCTTCCATAAATTGGTCTCTTTTTATAGATACTGCCTCATTTCTTGCTCTTTTACATCACAAACTTTGTACAAAGTGCTTCACACAATATATCATTTCATAGTTCTATTCTTTTATTCATACAGTTTCTTTTGACAGAAGTACCGGCTCCACATTTTTCTTTAACATTTATAGTTCTTTTTCTTCAAGTCTTGGCTCATTTCTGCTCTTAATGCTTTCTAAGAATATCTGGGTGGTTTAAATGTTCCTCTTCTGCTCTTTTAAGCACTTTGAATATTTGCCTTTTTACATATATTATATTACACAGAAATCAACAATGTTTTGTCTTTGTCTCCTCCACCAGGATGTAAAGTACTTGAGGGAAGTACCTCTGTTTTTACTAATTTATTTATTTTTAAATCAAGAAATAATTGACATAGGATACTATAGTAGTTTTATACAATGTAGTGTTTTGACATTTGTATCCACTGCAAAATGATCATAAGTCTAGTTATAATCTGTAACCTTACAAAAATAGCATGTTACTGACTACATTACCCATGCCATATATCACATCCTCATGACTTATTTTATAAGTAGAAGTTTGTACTTCTAAATCTCCTTCAGCTATTTTGCCCCCCTTCCAACCTCCCTCCACTATGGCAATCAGTAGTCTGTTCTCTGTATCTATGAGTCTGGCTTGTTTATGTTTTGTTTGTTTGATTGTTTTTTTAGATTCCATATATAACTGAAATCCTGTAGTATTTATTTTTCTCTGTCTGATTTATTTCATTTAGCATATCCTCAGGGTCCATCCTTCTTGCAAAAAAATCCTTTTTTTATGTCTGAGCAGTATTCCTTTGTGCATATACCACATCTTTTTTTATGCATGTTTCTGTTGATGGGCAATTAGGTCGTTTACATATCTTGGCTATTGTAAATAATGCAACAATGAACATAGGTGTTCCTATATATTTTCAAATTACTTTTTTAAAAAAATTTGGATAGATACTCAGTGGTGGCATATTTGGATCGTATGGTAGCTCTATTTTTTTTAATTTTTTTATTTGAGGAACCATCATACTGTTTGTCATAGTGGCTGCCCCATTTTATATTCCAACTAACACTGCGTTACTATTACTTCTCCACATCCTTGCCAACACTTGTCTTTTTGATAATAGCCATTCTGACAATTGTAAGGTGATATCTCATTGTGGTTTTGATTTGCATTTCTTTAATGATTTAGTGATGTTGAGCATATTTTCATGTGCCTGTTGGCCATCAATGTGTCTTCTTTGGAAAAGTGTCTATTCAGATCCTTTGCCCATTTTTTTCCTTTGCCCATTTTTTAATTGGATTGTTTTTTGTTTGTTTTTGTTTTTGTTTGTTTTTTTTGGTTTTGTAATTGAGTTGTGTGAATTCTTTATATATTTTGGATATTAACCCTGTTTTGGATATACAGATATCTTCTCTCCCATTCAGTAGGTTGCTTTTCTGTTTTGTTGAGAGTTTCCTTCACTGTGCAGAAGAGTTTTGGTTTGATGTACGCCCAGTTATTGATTTTTGCTTTTGTTGTCTTTGCCTTTGGAGTAAGATCCAGAATAACATCACTAAGACTGATGTCAAGGAACTGATTAGGCATGTTTTCTTCTAGGATCTTTTTTAAGTGGGCTCTAGGCCAAATATGGGGCTCATACTCACTAGCCTGAGATCAAGAGTCACATACTTTACTGACTGAGTCAGCCAGGTGTCCCTCTTCTAGGATTTATATGATTTTAGCTTTTACATTCAAAACTTTAGTCCATTTTGAGTTGATTTTTGTATATGGTGTTACATAGTTGTCTAGTTTCATTCTTTTCCATAGAGCTTTCCCAGTTTTCTAGCAACGTTTTATGAAGATTGTCTTTTCACCATTATATATTCTTGCTTCCTATGTTGTATTTACTTGACCATATATGTGTAGGTTTATTTATGGGCTCTGTATTCTTTTCCTTTGATCAGTGTGTCTGTTTTGTGTCTGTTTTTATGCTGACATCATATTGTTTTGATTATTATAGCTTTGTAGTAATGTTTGAAATTAGGGAGTATGATGCGTCTGGCTTTGTTCTTCTTTCTCAAGATTGTTTTGGCTATTTGGTGTCTTTTGTTTCTCCCTGCAAATTTTAGAATTATTTGCTATAGTCCATGAAAAATGTCATTGGAATTTTGATAGGAATTGTATTGAATCTGTAGATTGCTTTGGGCAGTATGGACATTTTAATAATATTAATCTTTACAATCCATGAGCATGGGATGGATATCTTTCCATTTATTTGTGTCTTTTCCAATTTCTTCCATCAGTGTCTTATAGTTTTCAACATACAGATCTTTTACCTCCTTTGTTAAATTTATTTTAAGGTATTTTATTCTTTTTGATATGATTGAAAATCAGGTTTTTAAAATTTCTCTTTCTGATAGTTCCTTATTAGTTTATAGAAAAATAAACACAGATTTTTGGATATTCATTTTGTATCCTGTGGCTTTACTGAATTCATTTGTCTCTTCTAACAGTGTTATAGTGGAATCTTCAGGGCTTTTTACAGATAGTATCATGCTATATACAAATACTGACAGTTTTACCTCTTTCTTTTTAATTTTTATGTTTTTTATTTCCTTTTCCTACCTAATTGTTCTTGTTAGGATTTTCAGTACTGTATTTAATAAAAGTAGGGATAGTGGCATCTTTGTTTTGTTCTTGATCTTAGAAGAAAAGCTTTCAGCTTTATTTATTTATTTCAGCTTTTAATTTCATTGAATATGAAATTAGCTGTAGGTTTTTCATATAAGGCTTTTATTATGTTGAGGTACATTCTATAATGACTTTATTGAGAGTTTTTATTATAAATTGATATTGAACTTTGGCAGTTTTTTTTTTATTCTGCGTCTATTGAGATGATCATATGATTTTTAATTTCATTTTGTTAGTATGGTGTATCATGTTGATTGATTTGCAGATGTTGAACCATCCTTGCATCCCTGGAATAAATCCCATTTGATCATGGTGTGCAGTCCTTTTAATGTGCTGTTTAATTCAGTTTGCTAATATTTTGAGTATTTTTGCACCTATATTCATCAGAGAAATTGGCCTGTAATTTTCTTTTTTTGTGGTGTCCTTGTCTGGTTTTGATATCAGGGTAATATGGTCTTTTAAAATCAGTTTGGAAGCTTTTCCTCAATTTTCTGGGAGAGTTAGAGAAGGATACATATTATTTGAATGTTTGGTAGAACAATTTTTGTCTGCAAAGAAAAAGAAGAGTGTGTATTTTATATTACACTCTGGTTTTTCTACCATTCTGCCAAATAGAATATAAGAAATGTTTAAAATGAATTATTTTTGCAATCTATGGTGTAAAAAAATAAAAATAAGTAAATCAATGGCTTTTTT